GTTTCGCTTTGTTTCGAGGTTGCAATTGTAACCTCGGTACATGTTCTTATCTTTGCTTAGTGTTTAATTAATTATTGCTTACAATTTAAGTTGCAAGAATGTAACTTATTGCAACGGTCTTAGCTGAAAAAAAAATCCATATCCGCAACCTTGTCGATACCGGATCTGATGCGTCACTCTTACATGTTGACGTAACGCGACGCTTGAATGCCACCATTTATCCGGCAACAGCAGTGCTGACAGGAATTGGGTCAACAATAACCGAAGTCCTATAATCATGTGTCATGATTACTATTTATTTTTCACAAGTGATAATTGAAGTAAAATTTCTGATTGTTCCAAATGATACACTGCCGCAACTAGATGCAATTATTGGGTGGGATGTTATCAACCAACTTGGACTGCAATTGCTAAAAACTAAAACTGGTCTGGAGTTGCAGCACACTCTAGCCGTACGATCATGTGATGTAAAACAGCCCTTAACATCATTGCTTTCAATGTCAGGAGTGGACGAGCAGACTGAAATAAAAATACGACAATTATTGGAAGAAACCACTTTGTCAGACAAGCTCCCAAAAGAATCACCTCCCATCGATGAAACACAGATCCGATCGAAGATATACGCCTCAACCGAGGTTGGGAGAAAAAGATTTAATAAAAAACGCACGATCGGTAAACCCTACCACATTGGAGACATTGTTGTAGTAGAGAATACCCAATGGAGGCAAATTAGGGCCTCGATACAAAGAACCGTTTAAGATATTCGCTTGTTTACCTAATGAGCGTTATGCAATGAAACGACCAAACGGCTTTCGTCACACTGAGGCCGGGCAAGACCAACTTGGTAATTGCCCCGAGAATACCGAAAAATCCACCGTGCCTATTGGCTCGTGAATACCGAAAAAACCAAGCCAACATTTTTACTTCACACTTTGACTGACATCCAGGAAAGATAGGAATATCATAATTATCAAAAGAGATAGACTTTCGACGCCATTCCTTGAAACTAAAGGGTTTTTCGGGTTTTTAGGCCGTCGTTGAGTAGAATTTCTTCTTGACGTTTCGCAAGCACGAGTGGCTTCCATCTTCAGAAGTTGTTTGCTTGAAGGCTTACACTGTTCTGATGCGATTCCTCGGGCGCAGTCCGTGTTTATGCACCGGTTGCGCTCACGTGGTTTGTGATGACTTGGCCTTTGTCATTCCTAAGGGTTCCTGGAGCAACAAACAGCGAACTTCTAAACCTCTTCTACAAACTGGGAAACGGTTTGCATTACGCTGACTGGAATAAGATCGACGCCATCTCCCATAACAGCATACAAGGAGAATTGGACAGAGTCACGAAGAGACAAAAGAAGAAATTTAAAAAATTGGAAGCCAAATCTAGAGGAACAACCCAAACAACATCAGACCTGGACCCAGCACGAACTGTAGTGAACCTGAGCAATCACTCACTAACGCTTGCGGAGCAATCTGTCTTAGCCAAGGGAAGAAACTTTGATATTAGGCCAAGAACGATACCAATAGAGAAAATTATTTCAAACACCGAAACAGCATTGCTCCCAGAACAAACGACAAATGAAATTCGTCTGGAAACCACCCAAATCCTACGGAAAGCGAAACCACCACCAAACAACCTTAGCAGAGAAGAACAAAATGCCACATTCAAAATTACTTGAAAACACTGAAATAATTAAATTATTCCAGGAAGGATAGTCAACAAAACGAGTAGCTGAGGTATTGGAAAAGCCGTAAAGCACGAATTATTAAATTGTAAAGAAATTATTGAGATTGTCAATTTTAAACAAGTTTGTGAAATTTGCACATTTGGCGTATTTTGCGAAGCCTGATTTCTTTAAATTGGGAAAAATTGCTACTGTCGATCTTCGTCGAGTCGTCTACTTTTATGTGTCGTCATCTGTACATTATCTCGGACAGTTGGCGAGTTTTTCAAATACTTTTGAAAGTGTCATTTTGATAATAGGAAAATGAATTTGTCAGTATTATGTTATTTACCTCAAGGTGGATCGAGTTAGAAATTCAGATTTACACAACAACTATTTGTGTCGCCCGCTGTACCCACGTTTGCAGTTAATGTCTTAAATTTCTAATAGAAAGGGAACGGGCATTTTTTTTGAACAGAGTCCAAGGAACAATATTTAAAAAGAATTAGTGCGCCAATTAAAAAAGCAGTTGATTCGAACGATCAAATAAGACGTTCTGGAAGTTTTGTAGTACGACTCAAGAATTCCTCACTTGTGCAAAGTGGATGAACTGGCTGCTTCATCAAAACATGAGTTTTATATAGGAACAAATTCACAGCGAGTTTCATTAAAATCCATCGTACCATTCCACCGATAATAAAAAAATAATACAGAGAAACCGAACATTTTTTCTTTAATAAAAGTTAGGTCATATGGTCTTCGTTTGAGCCAAAGATTACGGGACACCCTCTGTGTCATCAAATGCAAATAAACACACAAAAAAGTCGCAGGGCTCCAGAACTCGATGAATTTACTAAATACTAGTCTGGATGAAATATGAAACTGAAAGTCGTAAATTAACAGTCGAAAAGGTAGATAGAGACGTCGGCTACAAAGCAAGCGTGCTCCAGTGCGAGATAAACACAATTGTATAGATATTCTGTTTTGCCGAAGAGAGTCGATTACCGTCACCTTGACCACCGAGTCCGCCATATTCTGCTGTGTGGTAGATCTGGCGCGCTACTTGAACATCCGTTTGGGGACATCAGCCGCCTACTGGTTCCCGTCTGGGGATATTGATTCACTGAAATTGTGGACTGGATAGCCAGGGACGGTCTGGATGAGATCTGGACCTAGCTTGTAGGCGTCGGCATAAATTTTCATTCAATTAAACTGTTAACGTAGTGTAGTGTATAAATCAAACGGTTAGCAGACGGTATTTTGTGGTCGTCAAACCACGTTTTCTTGTTCTTTACTAAGCTCACCATTTTCCTTTTTTTACATCATCATTCAAGTCAGTTTATGTACTATCACGATAAAAGAATGGAGTAGGTATTTCGGCAGCATTCCATCGCTGAGTGTTCCAGCTTTGCTGCGAAAGCTAGTGGCGCTCAAACGAACTCACACTTCGGGCTTTGCACACGACGTAAACTTAATAAGATCTTAAGAAAAAGTAACAAACATGCGAGAACGGAAATATGTATTGCAGTTTTTATTTAAAATCAAAGATCGTTCAGCCGCTGGTAATAATATGCAATATATAAAGTGCCATTAAAATTTAATACGTTTATTCGGCGAATAAAACAAATACATATAATAAAATAAATATCTAGGTACTACATCAAAATACGTAATTATCTAAGAGCCGTGTGCGTATGACCATTAACTGCTTCATTGGATATGAACGATTCTCCCTTGCTCAACGTATTTTTAAGAATTACATTCACTTCCTGATCTGGTTTCTTATTTGTATTAACTTTTTAGTACAGAAAAAAAACTTG